ATCAGTATTTTTTAAATGAATATATAAATTATTTTCTTTCTCAAGAGATAAGGTTTCGCCTCAGAGCTGTTCTGACCTTCAGAGATGCCATCTCTTAAGTGTGAAAGGCAGAGTTAGTGTGTAATGACTGGTTTAAAAAAACCCTCTCTTTTGAGAGAATTAGGAATGGGATTTCTGGCCAGAAGATACAGACATACCAGAATATACCAGAAGGAATAATGCTCTCACACTGTATAACATCCCTTGCGAAGCAATTGTTGAATTGCATGAATTGCATTCTCTTCACATATGCTTGCAGTGCACAAGTACGCAGATTTGTCTCCTCTGCCCCTATGCCTTAAGAATTACTGCAGCCAGCTACATCTTGTTTCATTCCAATATAGCAATTTCTGTCTTCCTTACATATATTTGCATATATAACTTTGCCTTTTGATTCCCATGAGCATTTGCAATGCCTAATAATTAGGGACCTGCTTAAAAGGAAATGAGGACCAACATACCTTAGTATTTTCTCACATGGGAAAAGGTGATTCTTCACCTGTAGAAGTTGAAGAAAGAGTATGAATAATAAGGAAGATGTACTTCCGCTTATCTGAATAGTCCTGTCATTTTCCAGGAGGCAGTTGCTGAAACTTTAGAGGAGCTGTGGATCTCATACAACTTAATTGAGAAACTGAGGGGTATCCGTGTAATGAAGAAACTGAAGGTTCTTTATATGTCAAATAATTTGGTGAAAGACTGGGGTAAGCCAAACATCTCTACTCTGTAGAGAATTCTGTAGTGTGGTGAATGCATGAGTTAAGTCGCCAAGTGAAAAATAGTGCTCATGAGAGCTCATGGAGTATCTCATGGAGCTTTGATTGTAACTGACAAGCCTGCAGACATGTGCAAAATCCCTAAACACCCACTCATGCAAGAGAATAAAAATAGTTAGAATATTGAATTTAACTTCTAAGTCCAATTAAGTTCATGCTTTGAATCATCTTTCTCCGAACTCTCTTAAAGCACATCACTGTTCTTTAACCTGACACCAGTTAGAGCCCAAGCAGTCCCTCTCCTGTTGTATCCCATGCTCTTTATGTTTGCACTGAGTGTGAAAGGAATGTGTGGTGCAGCTGTACTTTCTATGTTCCACAATCTGGTTGGTGTTTTCACCTTTGTGGTTGCAGCAGAGTTTGTGAGACTGGCAGAGCTGCCAGTACTAGAGGAGCTGGTGTTTGTAGGCAATCCACTACAAGAGAAATTTGCCACTGATCAGAGCAGTTGGATTGAAGAAGCAACCAAACGGGTACCCAAGCTGAAAAAGCTGGATGGTGAGTCTGGGGCATGAGGCAATTGGGGTGAGTTAAAAGCTTAATATAAAGACAACCATGGGGAAATTAAACATAACCTCAGAGATTCATTTGTGTGCCCATTAAATTAATATTCCTCCCTCCTCTTCAGAGTTATTCTCTGAAGAGGAAGTAGTTACTGAGATCCTGACCACAATGTTTGATGGATTTTGGAGTGCTAAATCCAAGTGGTCTTGCAACCTACAGTTGGGCATTATTCTGTAGTTACCCAAGTAGTTTTATCAAATACCTAATAGGGAATGGAAAGATTTAGCATTAAATAAGTTAACAAGGCTTTCATCTTCCAAGTTGAATTACAGTTTTCCCAACAAAAGAGGTGACATGAGAGAATGGAGATAGACAGGGATATATTCTGGCTTGCTTTTGATGCAAGGACAAATTTTCAAAACTGCATGCAAACTTCCTAAATGCCTGAATATGCAATAAGCCTCAATTTGTGAGCTGTCCTCTCCTATTTAAGACACTGGTATGAAAAGATATTCAACCATTTAGTTACTAAAAATTAGATAATTTTGAAATCTGCTTTAAAACATGTTAATTCCTGTAAATGGAGATGTTAGCTGTTCACTATTATCCCCTGTTTATTAAAGCAATGAAGGGGAGAGCAGGAGTGGTTACACTAACATAGAGTCAGAATAACAGCAGGGAAGGGAAGAGTGGAAGCATGCCAACAAAAGGTGACAGGTTCACTACAGGGGGTGGTGGATGGGAAGTCTATTACCAGACTCTATCTAAAACCAGATCAACTACTGTAAAAAAAATATTAGAAAGTAGAAACCTGATGAGAGATTTGCACTGCTAGGAATGATGGCCTGCAGTGGTCCATTTGCTTTGTAATAGGAGAAGTTTTGAATGTAAAACAAAAAAAAGAATGGGGCACATATTTGTGGGCAAAAAGTGCCCTTGGTAGTATAAGGTTAGACTTACTAACCACACTAAAACTTGGGCACATGTGTCAGGAAAAGGCAGCACAAAATAGAGGCCCCACAAGAGAAGGGTGATGTGCTGATTGGTTGTTAGCAGTTGAACTGACTTGGTGCATCTCCCAGAGACCAAGTGAGGCTGATCTTTGCAGAACATAATTTAGTACCTTTTTGTTCCCTGTTACCCAAGAGGTTGGAAAAACATCCAACAGAGGAGCTCATAAGTTGAAGACTTTTCTAGTTAAGACCAGTTGAGGTATGTGGAAGTTCATGTTGGTTAGAAACAGGCAGGAAATACAACTCCTGACTCTTTCTAACAGAACAGATAACTCATCATTCAGATAAGATCATAATTTCAGGTAGATCATAATTAACTATGTCTTCCTCCTCTTCTTTTCCTATTTTTTTCCTCCTAGGTACCTTAGTTGTTAAAGGAGAAGAGGAAGAAGGAGCAGAAGGAGCAGAAGGAGCAGAAGGAGCAGAAGGAGGAAACTGATGACACTTTCTTATTGGGTATTAAATTATTAAAGTATCTCCAGATAGCTTTGCACATAAACTTTTATAAAAGTATTTGTTTTGAAGGAAATCTTTGGGCAGTTTTTAAAACACCAGCTTATCTCCACAGTCTCTCACCCAAAGAGTTAGTTACCAAAAATTGCTCACACTGGTTTTGTCAAGCTTATGACACCTTCTGTAGAGACTAGTGGAGCTGAGTTTACCTGATGTTTGGCTTGCAAGAGATTTTTATTTAAATTAATACATAACTATTTCTAATTCCTAATTAGTGGTGCTTGTTGTTCACTCTTGGGTTATAAAAGAACCGTTTTAGCTTATTTGGTGCTGCTGGCCAATATTGAATTGGAAAGTCTGAGGCCAGAAGAACAATGTCGTGGTTTAGAGACACCTGACGAGCTTTGTTGTGTTTCATTTTGTCATGGGACTTTCTCAATATTTTTAATATGTGAATTTGCCTTTTCATTCCATGAAGTATTATGCCAAACAGGCCCAGTAGTTGCAAACATACGCACAAAAAACTTATTGGTGTGATGAGTGCTTGTTCCTGGCCTTAAGTCTTGAAATGGGCTTCTCACATTGGAACTCAACTGCATTGCTTAGAAGGCCACGTATAACTTATATATTTATTTATTTTTAAGAGGCAGTGGGAATTCATTGCATGGTTTCTGTAAGACTAAAATACCTGCTAACTTTTGTTTTATCTCTTACTAAGACATTATATTAGATTGGAATATGTGGCCTATTAGCTTACAGCTGGTTTCTGGCTTTGGATTGGGTCACTGGTGGACATAATCCTTCTCAGCTCTGGAATCTTCGTGTAACTAAGGAGGCTGATAGTAACAGAGAAACTAACAGCAAACAGAAGACCTGGGCTCGAGGACAGAAAATTTTGATTTTGGGGATACTAACTTTTTGTGAAAGCACAGGTATAAGCAGTAAGAGAAAGTAGTGGGGACGATGTAGTTAGTGGGGATGAAGAGGAAGAGAAGAGGAAGAGAAGAGGAAGAGAAGAGGAAGAGAAGAGGAAGAGAAGAGGAAGAGAAGAGGAAGAGAAGAGGAAGAGAAGAGGAAGAGAAGAGGAAGAGAAGAGGAAGAGAAGAGGAAGAGAAGAGGAAGAGAAGAGAAGAGAAGAGAAGAGAAGAGAAGAGAAGAGAAGAGAAGAGAAGAGAAGAGAAGAGAAGAGAAGAGAAGAGAAGAGAAGAGAAGAGAAGAGAAGAGATTGGTAAAAAAAGTATTGAAGAGGTACTGAATGTGCTATATTGCAGAGTAACCAGTTTTAGTGAAGACCCCTTATGTGGCTATTTCTAGTGAAAAGCATTAAACAATGATGAAGACATACCTGATTGCACTGTGGAATGCCAATAGTGCAGTTTTAATTCTTCTCTTTGAAGAATAGATGGAATCACCTGAGTAGATTTTTCTGCAGTTCTTTTTTGGTTTTTTAACAAGCTTTTCTTCAAATTTGTGGTGCCATCTTTTTTTTTTAAATTGAAGTGACAACAAGTATATCTGCTGGTTCTGATTTATTGAAAAAATATGGATATTGATCTAGTACCAATATCCAACTGTGACAGACAAGAACTCTCTAACAGTTTAAAGTTAGAAAGTGTATGTTTATTCGACGCTGGGCAGCGTGCAGGATAGCTCCCAAATACACACCGCGCCTTCCAGGTGATTACAGAGTCTTTTTATCTATACAGGTATTGAATACACAAAATACAAATATATATTCCTAATTTTGGTACATCCCATTCCCCACTTCATATGCTAATCACTCCAAAAGCTATTAAGCATGCGTAGTTGTCCCTTGAAATGGGTCGGTGGTCCCTTTCATGGGGAGGGGTCCTAAAACGAGGAAGTAAATGAAGTCTTCCTCGTTCTGACCTTTCTACCTTTTCAATGCAAATATGACAAATGAACTCTTGGTAGAACTCCCATTCCTTGTCTTCAATTGGTTTCAGAACAGAGGAGGCCCACAATTGTCTTATGTTCCTAAAAGCTATTTGTCAGTTTCTATATTCTTTATTATAAGCCCAGCTAACTAAACATTGTGCTGACAAGCAATCAATTATTAGTTAACTACTAACTCCTAACTTCATTAAGGCCTACTCATTTATTATTATTATTTTAATTAACTCTAGTAAGGCTTATTTTTAACTAAAATCTTAGCTCCTCTAAAATCTCTAAATTCCTTAAAGTTTACGTTTCAGTTCCAGCCCAGGCATAGGAGGGACAGGGTCAGAATGCCACTCTTAAGTTACTTTGTTCGTGAAGGTGTGTCAGGAGTGTGGAGAAATCTTGGAGGACAAGTTCAGAGATGAAATGGTAGAATTGGTCCAGGCAACAGTGGTACAGATCTCAAGCTCCAGGTATAATTGTTGTAGGCGATTCTCTGAATCAGTTTCTAAGTGAACACTGTGACGTAAATTATTACAAGACAATCACAGTTTCGTTTCAATATATTGCTACTTAATCTGTGATTATTGGAGGAATTCTAAAGCATTCTGATTTAAATTGGCATTTGCTGAAGAGGTTTGAGTTTGGTTTGGATCCATTAGTAAAAGTAAGGTCATGAGCACAATGGCAAAAACTCTAGACATTCTTCACTCAGCACAAACTATTTCCAGGCAGCTGTTCTCTTTACTAGAAACTACTTTCTTAGTTAGCTAGTTCACTGGGTCTAGACAACTTCATTTTTGTTTGTTATTTCTTTAGAAGTATTTCCTTAGCTTTATCATGAGTAAAGGCAGCATTGACCAAGAAGCACCATGGAGGAGTGTCTACAGTCAGCAGTCATTTTCCATGTCTTTTGAAGCCAAGCCATTCTATTCACTTGCAGTCAACCACTCATGGCAAGGTGGGTGTGCTTCAGCAGTACAGAGCCCGTGGCACACACAGGCCCTGCTGGCCACATCTGCTGGGGTGGCCCACAGGAGATTGGCTGTGCCCTTGACCACTGTAGTCAAAGTGTGGCTCACGCGAGCCAGAGCTTGACTGACTCAAAACTTGCCTTCTGAATGTTCCCCACAAGCAGAAATGCCAGATTCATCTCTGTGTTTGGAGATATTGACCACATGGTGCTCTTCTCCTAGTGCTTGGCCACAAAGTGGTTGAAGCTGTGGACCTGGTCTCTCCCAGAACAGCTGCAAGTGGTGTGTATGGCTGGGTTAACTCCACACATGCTTGTGGCAGGAGGAAAAGGGAGTGATGAGCACAGTCCAATGCCAAGTAATCCTGCTGGTTGATTCTTTAAATATGGCCTAAGTCTGTGCATTTCTGAAGGTTATGTTAGATACAGCAAATGCTCTACATTTTGGCTGTATTGGGGCATTCTGAGAGCAGAATAGAAACTTAGTGTTCTGACTATGTTGTAATGATTGAAGTGAAACACAGATCCATTGACAAGCTGTGAGGGATAAGAGCAGTTCCTGGCTCTTGAAAGTGATGAGTAGAAGCTACATCTACAGTAATCAGTCCAAAACTATTGTAGGTGGTGGTAGAGCTGGGTGGATTGTGTGGCCCACTGGCACTGGTGCTTTCCACAGATGAAATGGCACAAATTCTCTAGCTCTTTTCTTTGGGGGCTGCATTATGAATACCAACAAAAAAGGGGAAAAAATCATTATTGAAGGCAGGGAGCATCATGTCTTAGAATATAATTAAAAACCCTTCTGATAAAAACTATGTGTCAGTCTCATTGAAACAATACAGTAAGAATAGAATTGACTGTGACTTTTGTTTGTCAGGAGATGCTTTGTCTCAAAGCTGGTATCTTCACTTTACCTTGCTTTGTCTGATGCGTCATGATTACTCTCAAGAACCAAACAACCTCCCCAAACTTTTTCTCCTCCAAAGTTTTCCTAAATTTTAAAATTTGCACTTTAAAATTAGGCACTGGATGTGATGGAAGTCATAGAGAGGCGGTAGAATTAAAACAGCTAGTTTGCATATTGGTGGTGCTACATTATGCTATGTATAAGGTGACAGTGACACCTTGGCCTGTGCCCCCACAGGAACATTAGAGTGAGATGCTGGAAGGCCTGGCTTTCACTTGTGCACTCTGCTGCTCCCTATCACACCACATCCAGTGAAGCAGTAAGCACGGTATTATTCATTAATGAATGGAGCACCCATATAAAATGTGCAACCCACGTGGAATTCTGCTTTTCCCAGTGAAGTTATAGAGGACTAGCATCCACTTTATTCCTTAGAGAAATATCCTAAAATCAAATTAGTGGTAGAAACTAGCTAGGTTTTTTGCTTGCCTGTTGGCACACTCACCTGTCTTCAAAGAGCTGATTGATGTATGCAGTGATTATTGAGAACTGATGGGAAAATGACAGAAGAGACCTGAGAACCAGCAGATGCCTCAGGTTACACTGGAAGTAGGCTCATCTAGAAAAACTTCCAAGCAAGAGAGCACTTTTAACATCCCCTTTGGCAATCTTTTGTATACAGTAATTTTGTAGCATGAAAAGCTGTTAAATTTGCTGTGTTTAAATTATTTAGGCCTATATTTATAAATGTTATTCTGTGAAAGTTGTTCAAAAATAATATAACCTTATTTTATACAAATGTCTTTGGCTGATGTGTAATGAAATAGTTCAGCTTGTGAAGAGTATTTGGAAATTAAATTTCATTCTCATGAAACGTTCCTGGCTGCTCAGGAAGCGATGTATTTAGAGTATGATAGCATGTAAATGCTGTTCCTTATTGCCTCTATATTTTAGAATAGAAAATAACTTAAGGCTTTAAAAATGCTGATATATTGTGATTGTTGTCATCTGATACATAAATATTTTTTAATCTTTTAAGACCTTGGTTGTCAGAATTTGTTCTTAGGTCCTAAGAGAAAAGCCTACTACTGCTGTATGTGGAAAAATATCCAGGTAAGTTAGAGAAATAGCTGGTTTCTTCACGACAAAATTACTAATTCACTTTGAATTTAAATTCTATAACAATAATATACAATCAGTTCCATTAAACCAGACAGGGAAAGGCTAACTGATTCAAAGACTTCTCTAATAGAAACTTCAGCCTTGAGTAGACCATGTCACTGAAGTGTAATTTCAAAACTCCATAAAGAAAATTCTTCCTACCTCACAGTCCACAGCAGTTGGTCTCAATAATGACAGGAGCAGCATCCTACAGTGATGGTTGTAATGCTGTTTAGAAAGCATATAGGGAGTTACTGCAGAACTCCTCACAGTACCACTAACTCAAAGCTTACTAGTGACTAAAATGCTTTATTAGGTTTCTTTCAGTAGCTGAAGTAACTTCCAGAAGCTTGGGCTTAGATCCAGAAGTTAAAAAAAGATAGAACACAAATTGCTCCAAATGTGTGGGGTTTTTGATTGTCCAAGGTTTGCTTGCACAGCCTCAGATTTAGTGCCAAGTACTAAACTTCAGCACTTTTGTCAGCTGGCATTGACAGGGATGCAAATATGTGACTTAAAGCCTTAAAGTCCTGGTCTGTTATCTCAAATGAAGGCTTCAGTGTTCCCTGTCTCTTCACACACCAAGCAAAATACTTTTTTCTCAAAACGTCGTTGCTGATCAACTGCCACAGGCACAGGATTAAACTAAAGCAAAGACTTCTATACTGAGCTGAAAAAACTAGTGTTTTCATGTTTTGGGCTGAGTCTTTCTCCTGCCATCTTTGCCAAAAATATTGAAATGAAAAGGTCAGTATAAATTAACAGGTGTGCTGCCTTAGATCCTAAGTGCAATCTCACAGGAGACCAGTCAGACACTGGCACATTTCTGCCATCTGCTTTATGTAGCATTTGTAGCTTTTAAAGACATCATACCCACAGGTGTGAGAACACCTGTGTAGCCTAGTTAACTAAAAGGCAAAGTACCAAAACAGAATGAAGATGTTTTGAGGATAGATGCAAGCATATTTAAAATCCACAGCAAGGTATCCAACTGCTGCCAGAAGAAACAAAATACATACTGTGTAACAAAACCTGTTAAACATCCCCCCGTCGGATTCAGATAACAAGTAAGTGCATTTAAGACAGTATTTAGTAAAAGTTTTTTCAAACTTTGTCACTGAAAGTGTGATACAATATGATCTACAACTGAAGCCATTGCAGAATTCACATCTGATGCAAGCCTATCAGGTACTAAGTTACTCCATGATGTCTTTGCCTTGCCCATGGTCTTTGTAGTTGTTTCAGGTAGTGTCAGAATCCCACCGGCCTTATTTACAGCACAGCAGACCTGTTCCCCAGGAATTCCTAGCACACTGTCAAGGTTGTTTCTGTCTTTCTGCAAGGGTGCTTGGCTTGGAGGGGGACACACATCCCATCAACACTTCTGTAAAGCAGTGGAGCTGCAGATTTCCCTGGTCTCCTACAGCCACAGGTGCCAGTTATTTTCTTGGATGTATGACATAACACACATTGCAGGCTTGTGCCTCAGGGGAAGGTGAGAAACAGCCTCTGGGGCTGCTGTGGGAAACACAGGTGAGTACAAAGAAGAGAGAGCAGAGCAACCAAAGAACTTGGGACAGCCTCCTGTGCATCATAGCCTGCACAAGCCCCCAGCTGCTCCCTCGTACCATCAAGAAAGTCAGCTAAGAGACTATTTTTTTAACCTCATTTAATAAAAGGTTTTTTAGATATATAGAGGATATTAAGTAAATAAGTTACATAGTACATTACAATCACATCTGCAAGATTTCCTTTAGTGTATTAATATTTTATAAAAAAGCACACAAAAAATAAATTCAGTCCAGTCTATCACAACTGTACAGCAACAGGTAAATATATTTATATATGTACATTTTAAACATGTAACAGTCTTTTAAAAGGTGCCCTAGGCAGCAGACACACAAAAGGAATGTCTGCTCACTTGTTAAAATAAAAGTAATATACTTTATAATAAAGCATTTATACAGTAATTACAAAGGCTGACTGCTCCTGTACAGTACACCAAAGCTTTGACTACAAATTTAAAAACAGAACATAAAAAGAATGAACACAAAAAAGTTTATATCAAATCTGAACTACAAGGGGGAAAATACATGTGGAGAAGCTGCAGGAAACTTTTTTAAAATACACAATTACATTTCTATAAAAATATATGTTGTCTTCTAATCTGGAGAAGTTAACGGTTTTTCAGGATCAGCTGTCAGTGGAATCTTAGTCTTGGAAAGAAAGATCCTTAGACAGCTTGGGATTTAAAGTTTGTGTCTTCCTAACATATGACACAGAAGAGAAGGAGGGAAAGTAAAGCTGAACCCAAGTGACAAATTTACATAGAAATTCACCCCTCCCAGAAATCAAACATGATTTGTAGACTTGCTTCTCTGCCTCTTTAAAGCTTTATAAACTTCCAGACATACATCAGAATATAAAGCAGAGAGAAAGTTTGTGTGGGAAAATGTGTATTAGAATAAGGTTTCTGGTAATCACTGGACTAAATGTGCCATTGTATGAAAGCAAGACTCCTATGGCTATAGTCCTTCCTACTCCCATTTCTTTAAAATACAGTATGTATCTGTAGAAACCTTCTAGTCCATTGCCTGAAAGAGAATTAAGAAGTGTGTAACTGCAGAGAGTGAGAAAGCTCACATTTGTGATTTAAGAATCATTTTTTCTGAAAAGTGTTGATTTTAATCTAAGCTTGTTGTAATGATAAAAATGACCAAAAGCCTCAGTCTGATAAATCGGGAGTATTTTAGTTAAATTGGACTTTATCTACAATGGGTTTAACAGATGAGTTACCTTTAAGCTTTTGAATTTCTATCTTTGCCCTTCCTTTAAGCAGCTACATCCCTACCTGTTTCTAGCCAGCAAAATGCCATGGTCCTGCACAGTTGGGTGAAATTCTGTAGGCCTTCAACTTACAGAGCCAAGTTCTCTCCGATACCATCACCCGTATCAGTAAAAGAACAAACATCAAATAAATTAAAATGCAGAGTGGTTCTTGCAGCTGGACTGCAAAACACCTGCAGCTGTATCAGATATGCATCACAAGTACATGCATCTATCTAGTAATTACATACACACATAGTCTTACAAAACTCAGATGCTATCCCATGCAGATCACAAACCTGAAAGAATGAATCTATCTGTAAAGGACAGGCAGAAGCACAGGCAGAAGTACGTGATCAGGGCAAACATGACCTGTCACTGCATCTCCATGATGCCCAGTGCTGGCATCAAGACTCAAGTAGGTAATGATTTGAAATACAGCCATCTGACTATGGGGTATATGACCACCTGAAGCCTGATCTTGCACTGTAAAAGGCAAATCTATTAGTACACATTTACGGAATTACATTCTGTAAATATTATATTTGTTCCCATTTGTTCTTCAAAGTGAAGATACATCTTGTTCAAATTAATTACTTTCTTCTGCCTGTTTTCTAAATTAGCAGCAAACCCTTACACTAAATTGGGATCAGTCAATAGGCCCTTAAACAATGGGAAATAATGAGCATGGAGTTTTAAAACAGACATATCAACAGAATATTGAGAAGAGTTTTGTTTGTTTGGGATGGGTTTTTGTAAATCTTAACAAGACTAACACAAACTTAAATTAACATTGTGCTACAGTAAAGAGCCACTCAAGTTATTTTTCCCCCACAAAGAGTAGGAGCATAACTCATTCCAGATTAGACAAATTCCATTTAAATGTTTTGTCCACAGAAACTGGGGGTTGGTTGTTTGGGTTTTGATTTTGTTCTTTAAAAAAAAAAAAAAAAATTCTGCTAACTTTTGCTACTAGGCAAGCTCTAATTCAAATGCAGGATCAATTCCAAACTCCTCTGTAAGCCAGTGAACAGAAGGCTTGGTTTGCTTGTTTGTCTTTTAAGATGACACTTGGAGGAGCTGGTTTACTTACTACCATGCCAGAAAAGAAGTCTTCTGGTGGCTGCTAGCAATTTGGAAGTATGCTCAGAAACATTCGAACTTGATGCCACTTACTTAGCACATTTACCTGATTGTGGTCAGCCCTGCTAGCCCACAGCTGTTATAGAGGTTATCCTCAGAAAAGCCCTTTTCTGATTTTCTTCAAGTGACAGACTGTGTCCAGTTTTCCTGTTCCATTCTACTTAAACTGCAGAAGGGTTGGAGAGAAACAACCAGTACTGGAATCAGCACATAATATACACAACACTTCTATGCAAGTAAAGAAAATCTCTGATTTGTTCTAACCAGCACCTCAAGAGCTTGTCCTTGACAAGACGAAAAATTATATCAGTTTGCTAAAATAGAGAAAATCAGTGAAAGATCTGGCCTTTGGAAGACTGTAATAATACTTGCAGTTGCTTCACCTACTGTTTCTCCTGACAGTGTGTTAAAGCTTCTGTTCTCTCCAAGGGCCCTAAGATAATGGCAGACAAGCATTTTCCCCAATTTATAAAAAACAAAAAATAAAAATCAACACTGAAATCCTTATGAGGAAGACTGATTTGCTTAAGCTTCTTTTTAAAGAAGCAGCTTTTGAATTATTTTGCCAGTTCACTATGTGCCATGTGCTTCCTGGTTAGTCAACCAGATCCATTCAATGTAGGAACATGGAACAGTCATCCAAATGCTGAAAGGAGCCCCAGTTTTGATAGGAATGAAAAATACAATCTTGACAGAAAACTGAACACTTACATGTGAAAGTGTCACCTTTGCAAAGAGTGCAGTCCTTAATGATGTTCCCCCTGATTTTGTAAGAGTAGTAACTGTTTCTGCTATTCAGAAAAAAAATTCTATGCAAAGGCATAGATATGTTAAAGCAAACATTGTACAATACACAGCCTCCCAAACAAAAGAGTGAAGCCATCATGAAGCCATCTACAGGGGAAGAAGACTGACAGATGACATGCTGGAGTTACAGCCTCTTTCTATAGTTAACCAGGAATTTATCTAGCAGCTGGAAGGGTCAAAATTTAAATTAAAAATAATCTGCAAGTGAGGCACACTCAGTAGTTCACGTACTACAACATCTCTTGGTTCCCTGCGGGGGAAGGCAGGAGTGATCAGCTCCTTCAGTGTGGTGTGGTCTGACATAGTGCCAGCACCTGAGAAGCTGGGGATCAATGCTGCTCCTAAGCACTGGCTGTAGGGAGGAAGCTGGGCAGCCAGGCTACAGGATGGCACCAACTGGCCATGAAGCACAAGTGATTCTCTGCATCCTTACAAAATAATGATAAATGTGGGCTATAAAGATGTATGGAACAATCCTGTCTGAATTTAATATCTGTCACCTGTACCACTTCTTCTTAACTCTCTTTCACCAGCAGCTTTTAGTGGCTAGACTTTTTGAGATACTAGCTTGTGTCAGTTCTGAAGGAAGAGTGAGCCTTTCAGCAAAGAGCACAGCTCATAGCAGGACAACCCAGCAGGCAGCACTGCCCAGCCACTGGTGTGCAAATAGATGACAAGCTTCTCTTGTACACACTGACTTGACAGCAACTGTCTGGGAAATTAGAGCCCTGCCATAAAAGCTTGATGATGGCAATTTCAAGGAATAAATGAGGGTTGCTACAAGACAGAAGAGGATATTGAGAGGTAAAAGCATTCACAGAGGGATCACTGCTGGAGATGAGACTCCATTCCTCCCATTTCTGAGCTGCATACAATCTAGGACACAAGAAAATCTGGGTTCATTTTCACTAAACAAACTTGCTCCCATTTATGTAAATTCAAACCCAGCAATTTTCATTTCAAATTGCACTTGTGAAGCCCAGACTCCTTTAAGTTAATCAAAGGCTGACTATTTTGTTTTCCAAGATGAGACAACCTGCAAGGCCTGTTGCTACTCTTATCCCACAGGATATTTTTATATCCATTGCTATGTTCTTAATGCCATAAGATAACTGACCTCAGGCTTCCAATTGAAAAATAAAACTTCCCCTCAAAAGGAAGAAGAATGTCTTGCTCATCCTTCTTTTCATTTTTGTGAAACAGAGGTCAAAAGTGCACACAATCTTTCCAGAAAACTTGTTGTCTGCCTGAATAACTGCTCAGATAGAAAGGCAGGAAAGCATAAAAAAAAAGAATTTGCTGAGAAAGGAAACAACTAGAAATCACCAGTGTCACAGTAACTGGATACACTTAGCTCAGAGTAGAGTTTCATTTTCTTGCTCCAGTCTGGGAACCTTTATTTCCAAGAGTCCTACTACCACGATTCCTGACAAGAACTAAAAGAAAGGTCTGACTGACCTGAGAGAACTTACTTCCACTGCAGGTGACATTGTTCTATTATGTACCTCGGATATCATTATAAATAGAATAGGAATCTTATTAGTCTTAAAAAAAAAAAAAAAAAATCAAAGTTGAATCAAATCTTGTTATCCACCATTCTGGCTTGGTCAGTACTGGCAAGGTGAAGTGGAACATGTGGCATGAGGAAATGGCAGCACTGAAACCAAAACCTGATGGTTCAGGTAAGAAAAGTGCAAGCAAAATAAGTGAGACCACTGAGAAGGAGGTTGGGTCCAGCCTTGCTACTCCCTCCACTTCTGGTCTGCTGCTATATTTCTCCATCTTCATCTGAGCTGGCGCTGCTGCTCCCGCTGCTGCTGCTCCCACTGTCACTGCTCTCTTCCTGCTGGGCCTGGCTGCGGGCTGCCGCCGCCGCTGCCGCCTCCTTCTCTTGCTGCTTCAGCGCCGCCGCCTTCTTCTCCTGCTCCGCGTGGCTCTTCATGTGAGCACTGCGGCTCTTCACCTTGTAGAACACCCTGAGGAAGGCACACATGGACATTAGCATTGGCCTCTCCTGTGGCCTCCTTCAACACTTCTCTGGAAGAGCTTCTGCTGCTCCGGCCTCAAGTTTGTGAGCTTCAGCTCCAGAACTCCTGCTGACACCACGATAGAGCATAGAGCACCTACAGCAAACACCACTCGGCATGTGCCAGCACAACGCTAGCCGGGGATCCTGAGCACCCTCAAACCTCTCACTTCATCTCTTACTGTGGCCATTTCTCATTCAGCTCTGAATTCAAAGGGGCAGTGCTGGTACCTGAATTATGCATGTGCTGCTTAACACAACACAGCCCTGGTTTTCAGGCATACCCCTGGGCTGCAACAATACAATCAGCATGGAGGCAAATGATGGTCCAATGCCACTCCTGAGCCTTGTCCACAGAGCTCAAAATACCTGAGCTTTTTCCTTCTGACTCTACATTTCTGTGATCTCTTCCTCCACCCTCCACCATTAGCTATTTGGATTTTGCATGAAATGCCACAAGTGAAGTTCAGACATCATTAAGAAGCCTTGTCTGCTAGTCCTGTTGTTTTAAGAGTAAGCAACTTGTGTAGGGAACAGAATTTTCCTGACAGTTTGGTTCTGTTGGCAACAAAAACTACTAAAACTGTGTGAGGAAATACAAATATATTTGACATCCACCAAAGACAGCTGCAAATGCAATCAGATGAACTACGTACCTACTGCCCTAATAGCTGCTGCTATAACAATGGTAGTGTCTCTACACCACTGTTCTTAAGTCTATACCATGTTCTTTATATGTGATCTAGCAAATACATAGAAACTTGTTGTTACAAAATTGTAAGCATTACAGAGGGCCAACAGAGCAGCTGCTTGAAAGTGCAGCTTAACACCAACTACTGAACACAGTTGAAACTTAGGTGGTATCTCATGCCATTTGAGGAAAAACAAGCCTTAATTTGTAAGTATTAGTGGGGCAGTAATTCTTTAGAACTTTTGCTAATGTCTATGGCCTATATAGAAAGATAGAAAGCTCATTTGAGAAAAAGCTTCCACAGGAGATGCCCTACTGTGATTCTGTGACTATTGCTGGAAGCAGAGTTGGTCTTACCTGCCACATTTTTTACATGGAAATGTGTTTTCTGTGTTTTGTGTTTTACTGGTAGCATCTGGTTTCATCTTCTGTTTCCTCTTCTTCCTCTGCACTGGAGCAGTAATAGGCTTTCGAGGCTTCATTGTTGTCTCCCTTGGCTTCCTCCCAGTTCTGCCCGTGACAGTTGACTCATGACTCCTCATGTTGGTGTCGCTGGCCTTTGCAAAGAGGAGAAGAGTTGAGGCAAAGTGACACTTAAACCCACCATCAGAAGGAAACAGTGGCTGAGCTCCTGTGATTCACTCATTCCAGACAAAGGTTTTATTTAATGATAAAATCTTCAGGCTATTTTAAGGACATCTCTCATCAGGGCCCTCTGTGTTCACCAGCCGCAAAGAATACATTTCCACCTTACACATCTCAGTTCTCCCATCACAGCACACAGTCTGATTGATAGGAACATTCAGCCCAATCTCTTGCTCCAGAAAAAGTAGGAGATGGAAACTTTCTGCATCTGGAACTGTTTTCTAAACCATTTGCAGAGTGAAGGTGGCATAGAAAGCACAACATGCACAATGCAGCACTTACCATTACACCATCCTGTAGTGTTTGTTCATCTTTCAGAGCATCTGCACTCCTCTTTCTGTTATCCAACCCTTCCTCTGCCTCCTCTTCTTCCTCCTCTTCCTCCTCCTCTTCCACATGCCCATGTTCCTCACTGAAGATGTCCCTTCTGAGAGGAAGAACACGTGCAAACCTATGGGAACTCTTCACCAGAGGATAAAGGAACTGTTAGTTTTGATCTCTGTAGGTAAATGACATTATGTGACACAGGACAAAAGTTTGTGAGTCTGGACTTCTGTGGAGAAACCAGATTGTGATTTTGATTTGACCACTGAGTGAGACAACACACAAGGCTTCAAACCACAGCCCAGAATAGGTGAGAGAAATTTAGGAAATTACTTACCTTGATGTCAACTTCAGCTTCATCTTTCATAGATCTCTCACTAGCACCATCAATGTCCCCAAAGATTAAGGTCCCATTCCGACCAATTTTCACCTGTTTCTTGTATGTGTAGTAGAATTCCACACACTGAGCCACTGTTTTGGTTTTTATCTGTTTAAAAAACATGAAAGTCCAATGGATTACATGATTTTAAAAAGACTTAGAAATAATTACTAGGGGTGCAATAAATACACTTTGTATTGTCTTTCCATAGTTTCCATTCCACCACAGCTGCTGCTGAAGCCTCCTTTTCTGTGTCATATTTGCCTGTCTGCCCCATCCCACAGCTTATTCCCTACTGCCATTGTTATTCACTAAGAACTAGAGGACAAACTTTCTAAAGAAATGCTGGTCAATGTAAAGGTGACAGAACCTGGAACTTTGTAAGCTTAATGCACCTCTTAGCCTCTGAAATGTTCCAGCTGAGCTATCAGGCCTGACAGCAGCCTCTCAGTTTTATGGAGGAGCTTTATTTTGCAGCAGCACTTCAGAGAAGACCAGAACAGAATACCAATCCAAAAATGGAAGTGAAGTTTGCAGCCCCTTCCCGTTTTGGCCATGTGCATTTTGTAGGCATATGGTGCTAGACAATTATCACCACAAACTTGTGACCATCTACATATTCTGCATCAGTGATTTTAATGAAATATTTGGAATTTATTCTTAGCTTCTGAGCTTTTGCAATGTAATGCCTTTGGGGAATTTATTCAGTAAATATGTTTGCAGCTCCTGGTTTCACACTCTCCTTCAGTGATTTCCCCCTTGCTGACATGTCATACCTCATTAAAACATGGGAGTGATAATTTTTACTATCATTGTCACAACACTGGAAAGAGAGATATAAAGGATGCATCTTCTCATATCCTTCTTTGGTCCTCTCCATCAGTGGCAGAGATGTGTTTCTTTTTAGTTTTATCAGCAAGCCATTTAAGTTAAACACTGCCAGTGCTCTATAAATGTGCTCTGCAGAGTAGATATCTGCAGCATAGACTAATGGAACTAATGCAGTTTAAATGCCAGGGTTAAGCAAAACAAACATTATTGCTCTAGCTTTCTGGTGAGATTTCATGCTGTGCTGGATGCTGACATTTCTCTGAAATCTTTTGAGTGCAGGACCTAATGCTTAAAAATCAAGATTGAACTTCCTGTATAAAATGTTCAGCAAACATATAAAAATGTATCAGGAAAACAAACAAACAAAAGTAACTTACAAGCTTTTGGACCAAGAAAAAGTCTTTCTTGTAGATTGCAATGCCTTTGTTGAATAGCTTTTTTTCACCAACCTTCCACTTGTCTGATCCTGTAGGTAAAAGTAAGTTGTAATAGAAGCCCATACAATTTCAAATGTTTACTCTTCTACATACCTCTTCTTCATGTTTGCCTTAAATAAGACCTATACACACATGTGAGGGTACAGTCCCTCCTCAAACCTACTACAGTAAAACTGCAGAGTGCTGTTAACTCCTCCCTTACTGCTCCACCTCAGCTCTCCTCTCAACACTTGCTTTGTGCTAGATCTAATGCTCATCACCACTGCTTAACTCAGCTCAGCTTGCAAAAACCACTCAGTTAGATGAACTAAGATGTTGCCCAAGCAAGGTGAAGTGACACACTTAGTGGTGACCCAGTCATACAATTTTATAGTAGGGTAATGGTGGGGCAGAAGAACAGGATCTTCTCTTTCAGCAGCAATCTGTACTTGAAGATGTACTACATCTCCAGTATTCCTCAAATATTCCTTGCCTCTAATAATAAGCACATTTTCAAATCCCCTCCTTCCTTATAAATATTGTTCAAGTAATATTTGCCAACAACTACAGTAGGAATGAGTAATAATGAAGAAATGTATTTTCTATGCCTTGTGGCACCAGCTATTAGACATCTCTCTACCACCTTACATCAGATCTTTCAGGTGACTTGGGTCACTCCACATCACTGAAGTCCGTGTCACACAGCTGACTATTTTCTAATTAGGCGCAAGACTACAAAAGAAGCTTATGGCATTTAAATTTTGCAGAAACACTAACAGGTATCCATAGCTGGCTGAGGCTTCTTCAGTAAGCTTGAAAACTATTCCCCATAAAACTCCTGTTTAACTCCACCCTGGAAACTAATGCCAGAGAGGCTATGATTCTAAGGGTACCACAGCCTTTCTTGTACATGCTGGCTATCTTTCTACATTCTCTGTGGCTTAGTGCAAGGGATTACCCTCCCTTTTTCCCACAGAGAAAATCAGAACTCATACCTATCCGAATACACATGCACATGTTCAGAAGGATGCAATGTTTCTTACATTTAAAGTGTCATAATTTGCATAAGCAAAGACATCATTTGAGTTACAAGAGAGTACTGCTCTTTTAATCTTCTTGTAATGTAACAGAGTACCCCAAAAATCAGAAAAGGATAGAAAAATTCCTGTATGATAAGCAGGCAGCCCAGAGTTGTTCTGGTTAACAAACCTGTGTAGTGATAATCTGCCAGAGGGTGGGAAGGTGGTCGCACTGGCTTCTTCAACAGCAGTTTGGTCAGAGCTCCCTTGGATAAACACAAGTAAAATAATTAAATGTTTGGGGTATTAAAAACAAAGATCAGGCAACTGTTAATCCCCTCTTTTCTGTGGCAAGCTAATAGAAAAGAAACAGAACACAATTTACCACTTGGGACAACTTTAAAAATCACATTCTTGACTGCCCACCTAATCTTAGGTACCACAGGCAAGTGGTACACTCTTGGCACCTCTTCACGTCTGTGAATTGACACAACCACCAGGGTACTGGGAGAGAGCTAATTCCATAGATAGAGATCTTGCACCAGTTTCCTCTCATTAACCAAAGGCCTAATACACACACATCCAAAAACATCCTGAATGATACCTGTCTTATACATCCAAGTAATTGTAATCTGATCTGACTTGATTAAGCATTATTTCAAAATAAAACAGCAGTCATGTGACTGAAAGATTACACACTCAAAACGCCCATCTCTCAAGCTGCTTTTTAGTTTTCATTTAAACCAGAAAAGCTTTCAAATTTTGTAGGAAGGAGACAACAGAATCATGCTTCCACTGGCAGTTTAAACCACCTGAACAATGAGCTCTTGTTGTCAGAGGCAGTCCTGCTCTTCCCTAATGCCAACAGCAACATTCACAACAATGGGCTGCTGGAAACCTAAGACATACATGCACAAAAACTACTTTCTATTTGAGCTCTTCTCCCATACAAGTTCATGCAGTCTCACAAGTGTCAGTGCCAGGGGATGGGAAACAAGCAGGCAGGCAAAAGCGTGGGATACTCCTGACCACAGGGCTGATTTATGCCAGGTTAAATCAGCCATAGAACTGTAAAAATATGACAAAGCTTTGCTGTTTGCTCTGCTCTTTGATATTACCTCGCAGGGGTGTCAAAGGGCAATAATGAAAGTGTATCATGACTTACAATACTGATACAAAATTAGCAGCACAGCTGTTCAACAGACACGGAGAGAAGTCAAATGGGATCTACCAAAACAAAGAGGTGCAAGACACTGCCCTCTGACTCAGCTTTCAGCTTTAGCCTGTTATTTTTCCTTTCTACATAGTAACCTTTCCAGGAAGACAACATCTAAGACTCATTTAGCAGTCTTGGCTCACTTGCCCTGATAGACTGTCAGTGTGTTTGTTAAAAAGCCAAACATGTCCAAGTTGGAAATAGAAAAGATAGTAAGTGCACATGGCACTGTGCATCAGTCAGAACCCACTTTAGGGACATACAACGGACACCAAACAATGGGAACCAGATGCACTGAAAGGAATTTGCAAGGCTCTCATCTCAGGAATGAGAGGTTATCTGACCTTCCTTAATATCTTTGACCACATTGAGGTGAACAGCTGGGCAGACTCACCAGAATGCTTCCTTTTTCTTCATGTAAGAAATGCAATGCCAGCTCCTGGTTGGTTCCAGCCCCAGGAAAAATGCTTGAACAGGCAGCAGCTAGCAGGTTTTCCACTATTTCCATGGGTGTACCAAAAAAAATCAGAAAAGAAGATTAAAATGACGTTTCCTACAGGATTGGCATGATTAATTACCTCTTTTGAAGGAGAAATAGACATAACAGAAAGTAAAACTCAGAGAAGCTCAATGTCCTTGCAAATTAATCTGGGTCAAATTTGGACCCCAGAACTCTATTAGACTTCAAGGTCATGCAGCACTATTTACACATGGAATTTCTTGCAAATCTCCTCCCTGCTCTGTCTTCCCACCCTCCCTTCACCTCAGACATTTCTTGAATCCACCCTTATATTGTGAATTTACATCTCACAAAACCCTTTTTTCTTTCTCATTCAAAAATATTTCTTCCAAGCTTGCCCACTTCCTCTTCCCTTCAGGACTTATACAGGCCACAATCCATGTGTAACAGAAGCAGTCAGCTCCCCAGGTCAGCTACTAGCCACCAAAACTCCTGCTTTCTCATCAGTCTACAACTTGATTTTTTAAAAAATACTATTACATCTAGAACATCCCTCAAAAATACAGGAGTTGAGTGTGTGTGGTTTTCAAATGTTAACAGAACCAGAGAAGGTTCACTGAGCAAAAGGCTGCTCTTGGCCTGACAGAAGCAACAGTCCCAGTTTTTTCATGATTCATTGGTTCTTTTTTCACGAAAGAACCAATCCTACCAGCCTCCCCTTGCCCCACACATGCAATCTGATAAACAAGTTTAGCTCCTAAAACTGTTTTCAAGACCACTCAAACATGCCACTTGAATGGCAGCTCTACAAGATTTTTAATTATGGCTACAGTAGACATGTGGTTACCCCTACAACCACTGCAACAACTCTGCCCTCTTTAACAGCCTTCCACCTTCTTACCATTCTCTTGGGTGACTTTGTTGGTTTCCAAGTCACCCCATGGCTGCCACACCAGCTCTGCTTTATGTTCATCAGCTTCTGCTAGAGATCTGTCTTGGAGTGATGGGATTTCTGCTTGAAAGCGAGTTCCTACATTTATTCGCCTGCAGAGAAGGAAAGATGTTACAGTCAGGCCATTGTTACAATACCCAGGAAGTCTCCATCTCTGCTAGAAACATTAATGAAGAACCAAATGAAGAGCCAAATGTATATACAAATGCAGGCTCTTGCATATAACACCAACAGTGTTGTAGGTTACATAAATAACTCAGAAGCTGAGAGGTTTTAACATCTATCACCAGTTTCCTTTTTTCTTTTTTTTTTTTTTTGTTACATAGGTTGAAACTGTATTTAAATTAGGATCCCCTAATAGCTGCTCAAAGAAGTTATTAGCTCCCAATAACCATCACTTTTTGAGAGGTCCTCTTATGGCAAGCTTGCTCCTCAGGCATAACATAGGGTGAGCCTGTTTTTGTATTAACGTTTTGTTAGTTAACAACTGAACCAGAGTCTCTAAAAGTCCTTTTCAACCTAAACACTGCCATCCGGTCCAACTTCCCATTCAAAGCAGGATCAAAATTTGGTCCTTTATGACCTTGACACAAGCTGGTGTCTTCTAGCTACTCTTTCTAACAGCTGAAACCAAAAATATAAAACAATGAAACCTGTATCACTCATTTTGTACAAAACCCAAATCCTATCCTTTCAGCAGCAATCTCATACTTTTACATCTGAATCAGCAGACAGATTTTTCACTACATGCAACATATAGAGCACTACATTTGCTTTAAGTCAAGTGACCACCCACAGAGATTCTACTCTTTATTAGCAAACATGATTTTGTGCACTAAGGTGGGTAAGAACCCCCAGTGAAAGACTATTCTACTATGTACTCAATGCAGAAGTGTTTCTCATTCAGATGTTAGTCATCCACACTGATAGCTCTTGAAACAGTATAGAAAAAGAAGCTCTTTTTTGGAGAGAGCAGATTAGGCAATGCCTAGAAGATGATAAAATTCTGGAGTTGCTTCACTAGAAGAAAGTAAAACTCCCTGCACCCAAGGCAAGGTTTGCTATAATTCTCAGGTCTTAGCTTGGTGCGTCACACCTAGCACAATTACCAGAGAAAGAGCATGATCTAATGCAAGAAGGAATAATAACAAAAACTTCTGAGAAATGCCAACCTCCAGACTTTTCTCATCCTCTGAAATGACACACACGTTTATTATGAAAAGCAGTTTGGAAAAGGTATGAGGAAGCCTTGAAACAACATATAACCTGTACAAAAATTCAGAGAGATACTAGCAAGTGTTTCAATATGGTCTTTTGAAGTCCTAAGAGACTGTGTTATCAAACAGGAGGAAATGGGTATGGAAGGAGAAGAAGCAAATACCTTAATTCCCTTTTACACCCAATTCCTCATTTTGGTATTATTATTAAATACTTGCATCATAAGATGTCATGTGTTGGAAAAGCCCAGGTTCAAAAAAAATGACTGACTTCTAACACACATAGAAAGATATTCTGCAAACTATTTTTTTTTTTTTTTTTGCATCTACAGGAGATCCAGATGTCCTTAAGTGGAACAGTTCATGTGTAAACAAAGCAATGCAGAAGTTAACAATACACTTGTTGCAACTTCATCACCCATTCAGCAGTAGCTCCACACAAGTGGGGTGGGATTCCTTCTTGGATTCCTTCCTCCAGATTCTGCTAGATGCAAAGACTGATGCTAATTTCCTCTCAGTAGCTGATGGCAAGATGACATCAAGCATGATAGATGTAAGTAGGGAAGTTTTATGTAGGCTGCCATGTACTATCTATCTTTTTCCCCAAAAACACTATTTCCAGTTCCTTTTGAAGGTAAAGCAACAGGGACATTATACATTTCAAATCACAGCCATGGGCAGGGATGAACTAAAGCAATGTTGCATGAAAAGGTGGTATCTCTAATGCCCCTCGTTATAACTGTATCAGGATCTGGTTCTCTCAAAAGTAATTTCATTTCAAATGCACACTAAAGTGGAAGAACAAAGAAGAACAAAGAACCCCAAGAAAACATTAAAGTTTGATTTTAAGTATTTTACAGGTACAAAAGTCTGTTTTTAATACTATATAATTTTCTATTTTTCCTTCACTTGTCCTATTCATCTTGGACAGCAAAAGCACAAACCAGACTAAAAATGAAAAGTAAGAGATTTCATGCAAGACTGAGAAGACCTTGCTGAAAAAGCAAAGCCAAACAACCACCCTGGTAAACCAGCCCTCCTTTCAGAGCATACTGAGATGGACTGCGGAGTACTGTTCATGTGAAGTTTTCTACTCATTGTGATTAGTCTTGCTTACTGTTATGGCATGCAGTTTCACAGAGGAGGAAAGGATTATAATCTCCCCTAGAAGGAATGACTGCTTGAAACTGACACTTTGCTGTCACCTGGAAACAGATAAAAATGTGGTTTTGCAGTAGAACCAGAATTTTATCAGAAATTTGGGAGATTTCATGTCTCAGGATACAGACTCCTCTGATCTCACTTCTGAGAAAGAAAGAGACTGGAAAATTTGGAGGGAAAGAATGTGGGCCTTCTTGATAGTTGCTTTCCATTTTGAAACTGAACTCGGAATATGACATCTGTGGGCTAGAAAAAACTGAATTACACCTCGTACCTGCAATGCCCAAATAAAGCCAGAATCCTATTGCAAGAATTGATCTGGGTAACCTAAATTTGGCCTGCTCTGAGAAGGGGCTTGGACCAGATGATCTCCAGAGATCCATTCAAGTTGTATTATTCTTCTGTTCCTTTACTGATGAGGTCTAGATTTCAATACATCAAGAGCTCTTGCCTGTAAGCACCAATGGTGCTCCTGGGATGCCATGGGATCAGAGTGTGACAACATCCAGAATTAAGGCTGTGAACTGGGAAGGCAGTTCACACTGATGCACCACAGGTATATTTAAGGCTGCCTACTTCAGCAGTTTGGTGAAATTGAACTACAAAACCAGTAGGACAGAAGGATCTGTGACAACAGATGCCTATTGTACCATTTCACAAATAATTAAGCTTCATTATCACATTTCCTATTTCAAATCACTGCAATTAAATAACCTTTTGAGAAGCATTAACAGGAGGTTTGGCAAAGCACAAGCAATTAAGACCACTATATTGGGCAATCACAAGTTAGAGTCAACTTCTGACAAGACTACAAAGCCCATTAAACATTTTTTTCTTCTTAAAAAAAAGTGCTTCCTGCCATATTTTCTTTAAGGAAGATATGTCTACATAACTGACCACAACAGTGCTGCCAAGCACAGAATGACACTAGGTTAATAATTTGTTGTCATTACAAGTTAAAAGCAATCTTCCTGCATAAGCATCTGTTCAGTAAGACTTAAGATGACATTAATTCACAATTGCAGCATTTGCTTAGGACAGCTGCTGTGACAAGTGCAGAAAACTGACCTTCAAACAAGAAGGCAGAATAGAAAAAGAGCAAGAAAAAAAATTGTCAGCAAACACTCCAGTCCATTTTTAAAATACACATCATTCTGGACAAAAGCAAAAGAAGCGTTGTATTTACCTGCAGAAAGACTTAAGTATCTCAAATGTTACGGAATAAGCTGCAGAGTTAGAGCAGAGATTCCTGACTGCACAGTCAAATGCAGAGCCATGTGGGTGTTTTTATGCCATATGGGTGCTTCCATGCATCTCCATGATTAGATTTTGCAGGAGTTAATTAATTAGGTATAGCAATGAACTGGAACTACACTACCTTGCTGTACTTCTGCAGTACTGAACTTGAACTGATAACACTCCCAGAGCATTGGCAAAGGCTGCACAGAGATATTTGCAGCTCTGCTCAAGTTTAGCAGGACTGGCACCAAGCCTAAGCTCACAATTCCAGCTTCAGCATTTCCAGACTGTGTTCCCTACTGCTGCTGTGTCCACAGGTTTCCCAGCACACAGCCAGCTAAAACCAACAAGGCTGATTAGCTCAGGGCACACACCCCATATGCCACTGGCCACAGCGTTTTCAGGCTGAGCTCGCCCAGGGGAAAGCCAGGTGTTCACAGCTGTGCTGCAGCTACAACACACCTGCAATTGGGATAGTCCAGGTGAGAGCTAACCCCAGTTTTCCAAGGGCATTCTGTACTTATTCTAAAGGAGCATCATCTTCCCAGCCTAAAACAAGCAGACAGCATAAAAAGAAGTGCTCATATACAACAACACAGGACTGATTCCTCTTTAGGTAACTAACAGTAATTCAGCCCAGAGGCAGGTGAGCATCAACAGACAGCAGTTAGTGTCACCAGAATTACATTTGCCCAAACAAACACTATTTATCATATGGTGTAATTTTTAATCAAGACACCTTATATTTTGAACCACCAATAAGAATAGTCTTAGTATTTCTAAGAGATACATTGGTCACACAGGGAGCAGCTTGAAGCTTTAGGAGGAAGCACTTTTGCTAAGAGATTGAATCTACTGGCTACTTACGGTTCAATGCTGACTGGGGTGGCTTCCCCCACTACTGTAAGAATCGGAGGGGTAACTTCAGAACTATCTGCAAAGAGAAGGAAGAACTGCTCAGCTTCACATCTGAGATTTACTTTTCAAACAGTTTGCAAATCTAATCAGAACTGTCCATCTCTCAAAAAAGGTACCCCCAGGCTAAATAAAGGTGTTTCAGATGACAAGGAACTTGCCTTCCTCCCCTCAGTTCAAGATACTGACAACCTGAGAGAGGAACTGACTTTTCATTCCCAAGAACGTCAGCAGGGGGTGTTGCAGGTTGCTTGTGAATCCATTTTAACATCCCTGCCCAGATGGAGCAACACTGCATTTCCACTATTCCGGCTCCCCAGACAATCAGGAAGAAGCTCCAGTTTCACACAATCACACCTCCTAAGGGCATGATGTTCCTCCTAATACTCCACAGTTCCTAATTATAATTTACACAAGAAAGGAAGGTTAAAATGAAACTTACTTGATCTAAGCAGAGTTCTGTGACCACTTTTGGGAGTCATTGGAGGTGCAACTGAATGACCGCTTGAAGAGAGGATAGCATTAAAATACAGACCAGATCCTTCTCTCACTGGACTGAGGATTGGGGGAGGAGTGTAAGGAGGTAGCTCAAAGTTCCTGTCTGAAGGATGGTCTGCCAGACGGACAGGTGACCGTAAGTGGCTCTGATACGGAGTAATGTTGGAATAAACAGGTGGTGCAATAAAGGTGCCAGCTTTTGGTGGTATGAAGAGTGGCTCGGGTCTTGGCCGCTGCTTTGGTTTTCGGGCAAAGCCCTCTGCTTCATCCTTTGGAACAGCATCTTCATGCTATTAGAAAAAAAAATTGTATTGTTAATTTAATTTAAAACCTCAGGTCGTTTGAAAAACTTCAGTGAGATGACAATATTTTTTCATGGCAGCTTAAAATCTGGATAGGACAGTTGGAGGATGTCTCAAAATTAGCAGAAAGGGAAAGTGAGAGGAAGAACGCAGGGAATGGAATGAACTGAACACAGGAACTATTAGGTAGCAGCTCTAGCTCATGTGATTACGCAGTTATATTTTACAACAACTTCATGTGCATCTGGTCCAGCATTCATGGAAGCTTTAAAAGAGAACAAAAAAGCACAGCAGAACCCTGGTACAGATACACCAGAACACTGATACAGCTACACATTGACACCAAATAGTGCTAAGAGAACAGAAGACAATATAACAGCATTTTATTAGATGGTCAAGCATTTAAATGCAGAGAAACCTCCCCAGATGCCTGCCATTTCTCTGGTATCTGAACATTCTTTTGTACTTCTGGATGGAAGAGAGGGAAAATAAAAATATCAACCCACCCACTCATCACTACCATGCTGCAGGGGAACACTCAAGTACTGACCTTCAGAACTCAGTAAAAGGTTTCAGTTGCATGAGAATAAATCTTCACTTTGGATTCTATTCACATTGAGAGATATGTGCACTACTTAGAATTCATTGGTATTTATGTATGTATGAAGAAAGCACTCTTGACACAGACACACTATTGTTCTAGTCTTACTCTCCATGTGGCTTTATTCACTGTTTAGTGAATTTAGTGAGGTGCTGGCTGGCTTTACTAGCATTAGCTGTAGGTCATGAAAAGCCAGCAATGCCCAAATATATGGCAACATTATGATAAAATCCCCAGATTACCGCCATTCCAAGTTCAAGTCTTGAGATCAAACTACTTTAATAGAAAAGCTCATGGCTAAAAACTGTGTGATTAAATCTAACAGAAGTGGCTCATCTTTGGTTTCTTAGTCCATCCATACCTGACTCGAGGTCTCCATGTTATTACGATTAGATCGCCTCCGAGTGACTATCACAGAAGGCTTCCGTTCACATGGAGCTCGATCATTTGCTTGGCCTCTCTGGAGCTTTCCATCCTCAGACTTTTCCTTTTCAAGGCTCTGCAAGTCAATTTTTCTCACTGGTACAGACACAGGAATGATAAGAGGCACGAGACTGTTATCCTCCCGGGCTTTTTTGGGAGCTGGTGAAGAACCTGCGAATTCCACAACACTTTTTGAAGCTGCAGTAGGTCCTGGAGCTGTTACTAGCACACTCTTCTTCTCCTCTGAATTATCCAGCTCCTGAGAAGAAATACAGATTCCTAAAAATTCTGTATTACTTACGTAATAAATGATATATCATCTCACTTTCAGTGTATATCAAGTTTCTCGAAGCAATTTGCAAGCTGAAATGGATTTGGAAGCATTACTGGAGGAAAAAAAAATACTTCACAGCGTTACTAAAATTCCACAGAATAACTTGAGGATTGCCTGTAGTCTCAACTGCTAGAACACTTATATAGGTCATTCTTAAGAATTGTTTCACTACCTATGTTTTAACATTTTATTTTCTATATGAATTTGTGTCCAGCTTTATAACTTTCAACTACAGCTCTTTAGTTTTAGTAATGATCAAAAGCTGCAGGTTATTAATTTCAAATATTGGATTTCTGCTCCAGGGAAGACTGAACCATGATAATATCTTAATTAAATCTCTCACACACAAGAAAACCCAAACCCAGAGCTAGTTTTTTTGCTTTTTTTTTTTTTTTTTTTTTTTTCTGACTCTGGAAAACATTAAGCCTTCAAAATAAGCCAGATAACAAGATTGAGTATATAAAATCTACTATATCAAGAAGATCCAGGACTGCCCCCTTTCAAGACTTTTTATTAGAGTTGGACTAAATTGCACAGAAAGGTTTACTCCGTAACTGACTGTGCAGTTTACAAGTCTGACTGCTTCTTCACAGAGACTGCAGATGTACACCCCTACCACAGTGATGGAACGCACAATTGTAAAGTCACAAGTGGCATCCATTGTCCCAGAATAAGCCTCAGGACAAATTAATGAGGTCTGAGGACCTGTCTTCACTTCAGGCTCCTGTACTTTCCCATAAAACCACCAATTTTGGGTTTGGATGGCATTCATCATGTTCATCATGCTGACAGACATTACTGGAGTCCACTGACTCTAGACAGAAAGGGGTTCCTGTATATTTTGGTAGCTTCCCTCCACCACATTCTGGGTACAGCAACATGTAATGACAATGTGAATAAACACCAATTCTGACCAATCTAAAACCTCAGGTACTTCCTGGGTAATACACAGACCTCTGTAGGTCAAAAGACCTGAACTAATTTGCTGACTACAAGAAGGAAATTATGGCAGCTTAAAAGTGCAATAGTTACCTAAAAGTGTCACTTTCCTCTATTCCTCTATTGGTTAACTATGCTCCTTTTATTTTCAAATCTCGGGGGCAAACAACAAAGGACTCCTCCTCAGAGATGGGAGAGATGACCCCTCCAAAAGAAGAAAAGAAAATCTGAACAGTAGCACTGATAGAGAAAAGGCATCAGTTGGGACTTAATATAAATAGTTGAGACATCCTTAAAAATGTTCTGGTCCACACCACTGCTTTTCTGATCACAAAAGTTCACACATACCTAATGTTTAGTCAGAGGCATGACTAATTTTGGAATTAAGCCTTTTGCTTCAGATCCCTAAATAGTTTCTCAGCTGTTTGATTATTCTCAGAGGTAAGCAGAAAGGATGGGACCTGCTAGGGGATTTTTGGCTACCTCAACATCCCTGTTGCAGAATTTGGAGCAGGAGGGCTGCTGGATAACTTCAGCAAGTGCGACATGTGGCACTTTCATTTAGACTCTAGCATAAATACTGAGATATGAACTAGTCATCTTGAGTCCTCCAGGAAATCCACAGAAACCTATCAGACATTTCTGCATCAATCCTGTCTATCCCTCAAAAAACTTAGAATTCACATAAAAACCCAACTGCAACAGTTGAAAGAACTGTTCCAAGGCCACATCTGTGATCTGATTAGAAACCATACCAGCCTTTTAAAAACACCTGCCTGCATAGTGCTTTCTGCTATCGTTGTGCGTCATCTGCATCAAGGAGAGGCAGCTTCTGTCTGCAGTCAAACCAAAGCCTGTCCATCCATGAAAGAGGCGAGTCCACAACTACAATTCTGCAAATAAAACTTTTTTTCCCTTTTTGTTTGTAGCAGCTGGTGCCCTGCCCTGTGCCAGAGAAAAACAGCTAGGTAACCAAAATTTTTCTTCCTTCCATAAAGGACAATTTAAATTCAGACACCGTTTCAGATAACCATTCAGATTTGAGAACATTTTTTCTGTACTTTTAGAAGAAGTCACATTGAAACAATTAAATTAGGATTTGAAAATTTACTGCAGTCTGTAGGCAGCAACAAGCTTGCAATTCACCTGAAAAATAAAAGGCAGCCACAGGCAGCTCTGGTGCAAAGCATCAGTTGTGACACTGCATGTAGACAGATATTGCTGTCTAGAATATAATTTTTGCGTAAGGTACACACACCTAGACTTGGATATTCAAAAAACTAGTTCAAATTATGAATGTTATCTTCTTCAATCAATAATTTAACTCTATGGCCTTCTACACACTCTTCAGATAACCTATGCAGAGAAGGATTCTAGGTTGTTTTTAACAGAAAGACACTCATAAGAGAAGCAGCCCGCTCTCATTCAGCAAATATATCTTCTTTTTCTCCCTCACACAATATCCAACATCTTAAAGATGTAAAATCCATCAGACCTCTGGTAAGAATTTTATCATCTTTCAAAACCTCCTCCTGAAAACCTGAAGAGATCTAAACATAATGAGTTCTTCTGCTAGTGCCATTATGCTTGCATAACTGCAAAGAACAAAAGAGCATCTGTCAAAACACTTCTCTGGTCTTTACATTATGAATCAGACTGCAAGCAGACGTGCCTTCAAACAGCCAATTTCTAGCTTCATCTCTCGGGGCCTTTTCCTAAATGCTCTATGTGCTTCTTGTTGACACTGTTAGTGATCCAAGTGCCATGTGAATTGCAGGCCTTCTGCAATATAACCACACAGTGGCTGGCAAAGTATGAGCAAATACACCATGCTACTATGTACTACCAGTTCTTTATCAAATCTGCTGGTTCAACTGGAGTTAGAGCAAAAAGGATTGAAGACAGCATCAACCCAGCATCAACCTTTCTTCTGTCCAAGAGATGGAGCAGGCTATGGATATTCAGCTCATTGTTTATTAGTTTAGTTCTTTCACTCAAACAGCACATTCCTCTAAGGAAGAGATGGGAAAAACAGTGACAGACAGACTAGGATAAAAAGGATGATGAGAACAAAACAGGCAACAAAATGCCCTTCCCTTTGTTGTCTGACTGGATAGCAACTCAGATATCAAAAGTGTAGGTAAAAGTAGCTCATGTAACGTATATTTCATCAGCCTTTGGCAACAAAACTTCCAAGGAAAAGTGTGCCTCCTAAGAAGCACTCAATGAAAGATTAGGCAAACCATAACTCTAAGAAAACATTAAAAAACAATCCCTTCAAAAATCTCCACTCAACTTCAAAATTTCATCCTGTCACTTGTCTCCCAATAGGCTAGTTAACTTTGAACTCTGTCATCCTGCCATATGGAAAATATACTGTTCAGTTTAGACTGATGGGATATCAAAAGGTTAGGAGTAGTGAACTACCAAATCAGTCAGCACTTTCTTCCCCTTTAAGTCGTACAGGAGGTCTATGGGCAGACAGGTCATTTGGGCAGACAGGTTATTCTACAGCTCTTAGGTCATTCTTAGAAACAGGATGCTGCACGAGACAGGCCTTTGTCATGCCTGGTATAGGTCCTTCATGTAAGTGAAGCTTTCTTCGACTTTTAATATTTGAGAAATACTGAACATGTAATTTTTAGATAGGGCATTTTAGAAACACTTCAACTGCTGAAACTGAAAAACTGGCAGGTAAGCCTAAGTATTTAAACAAAAAAGAAAGAGAATGATAAATTGGTAAAAAGACAACAAGTAAGCTGCTTATACTTGCCTCTCAAAATTCCTGATCACATTGAGACCAAAGCTGAAAACATCCATATTTTCAGCCATATTTTCATTTTTATGGGCTAAAATAATGTTTGGTGTTAGTGAAATAAAACTTTCCCTGAGTGGTTTCACTACACTACATCTCTGTTCTCCCACATCTATGAACTAGAGTAGTTGAACTTACATGCCTCCACACCAGAGTTGCCCTTGTTGCACACTTCAAGACACCATCCTATCCTGCATATATATACATAACTTCCTTTACTTTCAGCCCTATTTTGTAGTCCAAAACATGTTATATTGGTTAGGGTCTATACCTTACCTTTACATTCTGAAGAGAAGCCAACTCAACAGCTTTTTGGGCCAAAGTCAGCAAATTGGCTTCTTGAGAAACGCGTCGCCTCCGTCGGGTACTCTGGATTACACCACCTCTGACACTCTGAAAATCATTAGTTCTCTGAGTGTTTTCTTCAGGTGCTGCTGCCTGCTTCTCCTCATCTCTACCATTCTGGGCTGCAGCTTGCCTGTCTGTCTCCTTCTGGCACTGCTCACTATTCACCAGGACATCCTTCTGCCCCAGATCCAATCTTTTGGGGTGCAAATAGCCACTTTTACTGTGGGCCAATGACTCAGGTGTTTGCTGTAACGGGACCTCTTGCTGATGTGTTTGCCAGTGATGCAGAAATAAATTGCTAGGTGGTTGTTCTGCCTGCTTAGAAGTCAACACTTCTCCTGCAGATGTCAGCAGGCCACCTTCTTTGGAGAGTCTCCGTGACCTTCTTGGAAAGGGAATCTGCGTCTGAGGTAGAACAGCCTGTTGGTTCTGCTCTGTTAATGCCTTGAATAGCTCCTGGTTCCTCTCTGCTTGCTGAAACTGGTGTGGCATCATGTGATGCTGAGGTGCTGCAGCTGCCACATGAGGCTGTGCTATAGAAGTTGTTTGCTGCAGACCAAAGGCTTGTGTGGCAGTCTGTTGCTGATGCTGCTGCTGCTGCTGAGGATAGAAATTTTCGAAGAGCTGTAGCTGGGGAAGAGCTTGCTGTTTTTGTTGTGCAGTAAATGCTGGACTGGAAGAAGTTGGGGCTTCTTGAAAGACATGTAATAGCTCAGGAAGACCTTGCTTTTGGCCTTGGTGACCAAATGCAAGTTGGAAAGGCTGCAATGGCAGAGTTTGATTCTGCTGCTGCTGTTTCTGCATTTGATGAAAAGAATTCATTTGAGCTTGTTGTCTAACCAGGGCTTGTTGTTCCAGCTGAGCCTTCTGGGACATCATCTGCTGGACAGCATCTCCATATAAATCCAGCTGTGATACAAATACTCCTTTCTCTTGATTTCTTTTAAGGGCTTCTGGGTGACCATAGAAACCTGGGGCACCAGCATTGGAGTGGGGTCCTTTTGGGTTGCCCCCAAAAACCATACTGTGATTCCACATTGAAGGTGGAGACTGCCAGTGGCTGTCACCCCTCTCTGGCAACCGGTTTCCCATTAGTGAATTCTGCCATTTGACAGCTGTTACTGACTGGGGCATCATCACTGATTCTCCCCTATCTTGATTGTAAACAGAGTTCATCAAAGCAACGTTGTTGGGTGCACTTGTTAATCCTCCTGGATGAGAAATCTCCATAGTTTGGGAGACTGGTATATTCCCTCCATGACCATAGTACTGCCCTTCCTTAAGCTGCTGCTGTGGTTCTTTTGATGGCACAGCTATGTCCTGCTCATTAAAATAGGCAACTCGTTTCCCAGTCCGCTTGCTTGAAGACTTTTGCTGAGCCTGAAGATTCATGGTTCAGTCTATTCTCCCAGCCACACACAGTATTTATAATCCACCCATCCCTGAGGTTGGGGGAGGAAAGGCACAGCAGTCTTTCTTTTCCATTCAGCTTCAGTAATAAATGGCAGGAAAGAAGTCCAGATGAAAGTGCATTCACTTCCTTTTTCTTTGTGTGCTTTTCCCACTTCTTTTCACTCTTATACTTTCTGGTTCAAAGGTCAGTACAGACCACTTAGTTACAGGTCCTGAAATAGAGAAGCAATTGCAATGAATCATCAACAGACAAAACTGGCCTATGAATGCTCATGTGATAAGCAAAAATGTGTAAGTCTGACCCATTTCCCATGGAAATGAAGACCAGGATAATAGATGGAAGAAACAACAGATGTGACCTGCTAGAAGAATGCAAAACAAAACAACTTAGTTTTACAAAATAGATACCACACTGTACTTGCATGATGCAACTCCCTATTGCACACAAGAATTCTGACTAATCACTTAAGTTCATCCTGAAAGTTTTACTCTTACTCTTTACTACCTCTGATCTGGCCAATGACTTCCACATCTTCCTGTAGCCAGAATAATCTGGTTTTAATCTCAACTCAAAACCACAAAACAAAAAACCATCATAGCTTGCTTCCCAAAGACCTTTAAAAGACACATGTGTACATGAAGACTGCAGCCAAACTTGCAGCAAGATGCTCAATTCAGAATTCTGAAAGAAAAGGGTCAGGCAACAGTCCATCAGTCACATATACACCATCAATGATTACAGATTATTTCCAGTCAAGAACTGCCTGCCCAGCATCCAAGCCCTAGGACCAGGGCCTGCTCAACCTGTTGCTACCTCAGAAGTTTTCTTCAACAGCTGAAAGAAACTGCTCCTGCTCAGGTCACACTCAACTGAAAGGTAGTTCAGGCAGCTCTGTTGTAACAGCTGTTTGCAGACATCAGCAAATATCTCTTAGTGTAAAGCTAAAAACATAACAGGAGGAAGCCTTTCCAGAACAGGCACTCTACAACAATTCTACCCTCCTATTCTCTTCTTCCATGAAGAAAAGCTATCCACAAACTCTAAGAGGCTAGTTTGCAGGATTAAGGTCTAATGTGTGTACACATATATTAGTATTTCTACTTGGACATCTAAAACCTTTTTGCATGTTTTGTCTTAAATTCAATTATCTTATCAGATTACCACTACTAACATTCTAGTGTAAGTCTCTATTCCTACCTTTTTCGGTGTGCATTCTGTTCCCCTTTAAATCCCACTGCCAATATATTCCAGGAAAATTACAGCAAATTTTTAAAACCCTATTCTTATTACATCCCTTCTGTTATATAATCGAGTTTCTCTTGAGTGGAGCAGGTAAGACTAACACACACATCCCCTCCAATGAAGCCTGCAATCTACTTATCCCGCTTTCTAAAATGAAAAATAATAAACCAAAATTATATAGCACACTGAAGTCCTGTAACCTGAGCTTCCTCAGACGGATATGGGTACAGTGCAGGTTTTAATACTGAGGTGGGGTTGGGAGCATGACGAGAAGGAAAGGACAAAAAGTTTTAATTAACTTACACAACTTCCACCTTAGAGGCCAAGCTTGGCTTCAGTGCGACTGGAACCACGGGACTGTGTTTCAGAGTGAAGTGACTCACTTCCTCAGGCTGTTACATAGCTGTTCCCCCACACTGCCTCCCCTTCGCCTTTGGCTACAAACCATGGACCTCTGCCACCCCGCAGCACGGAGCCAGGGCATTCCTCCCTCCTCTAAGCACAACGTCTCAGCTCATTTCCCAAGACTATCACAACAGGACAAAAATAGGAGAAATTATGGACACGTGAGATGGAAAATTCTAAACTGCAATTAGTACACAAACAAAAATTTCATAAAGTAAGTTTTTCCTACTTCAAAATTTCACTAGGAGAAGAAAAAACATCTTACAGCAGGAAACTGAACCCCTGGTAGCAAAAATGCAGAGGTGGATAAGCTACCATATGCCTCTCAGAAGCCTTAATGCTATCCATTCTCTCTCCTTGCTTTCTGCAGTACTGCAAATGTATCAGAGATAACAGCTAAACTTCAACACCTGAGGTAATACTACTGAGAGTGATTTCTGACAGTCTTACTTTGTGAAATCATCACAAGCTATTTTTCTCTCCAAACTAGGCAACATTTTCCTTCTCCTGATGCTTTTGTAATGATCAGTCACAGCATTCTGATAAAAAGAATGGAAGATTTTCTGTATATTAAAAGTTAGATGACATTACCATTGCATCAAGTTTTAACCTGACAGCTTTCTGAAATTCTGCTGTAGACTTTTTGCACTGTGAAGAAAAATACAACAATTGTCAAAAAGACATCATTCAACTTTAAACATGAAGGGTCCTTGTTTTCAACCAAAGAAAGAAAGAAAGAGCCCAACTGATGTTGTTCTTAATAGTCGTGGCTGGGATTTGCAGTCACCACACAGAAAAGTACCCAGAAGACCTTTAGCAAGAGGACTCTCACATTAGTAAAAAAGCATTGCGTTAGCACAACTTTCCAAACCTGCACTTGTGTGGACTTTGATTCTGCTTTTTCTATTACTAGATAAGAAGATACCAGTATCACAAGATTTAACTCAGACCAGTTTAGAACTGCAGCAATCTGGGAAAGAGATCTAACAAAACTATTAAGATGAAAGTATAAAAAGTAGTAAGTTCAGAGATAACCTAAATGAGGAAAAGGAATATGTACAATTGAGTTGTTATTCAGCACAAAACCCAGGATAGTGAAAAGGACATGACCAGGGAGAAAAGATATTTAAGGTACTTTGAAAAAAACATACATACTGAACATCCCAGTTACATGCAAAAATAACTACATCCTAAGAGATCACCAAGATAAAGGAAGATTTGGTGCATCTGGTATTTAATGGCAAAAGAAAGTATCACAAAATTCACATTTTAGAAGTTCTTTCCATATAGAAAATCTATAGAAAAGTATCTTCTATGTCATCCTAATAATAACAGTTCAGAGTTTAAGCTGCAGTGATAAATGTTCAAGTTGCAGCATGACTATGCCTCAGGAAAGCTCATGCTTGGCAGCTTCACTGCATGAGCACTGTTGGCTGACTAAACAGGCTTCCCTCCTGAGGTTGGGGGAATGAGCTCACACAATCATCATCCCAGCCAATTACCAGCTTTGGGGTTTTTCTGCTTTGCTTTGTTTTGTTTTACTTGAATTTCAGCACAAGAGTCAGCCTGTAGTAGCACAGGAAAATGGCAACCCGCTTCCAGGCTTAAGTGCTTTGGAGCAGTACACCCTGGACCATTCTTTACCTTTGAATAAAGCACAGAGCCAGTTCCAATACAGTAATTCCCAGAAGATACTGTGTCTTGCCTCCAAATATACAGAGGCGTTATGATACTTAGCATTGCTTTTACATTGCACAGATAAAAAGTAGAACCTAGGATCAGTATATTTTGTTTTAATAACTCTAAGATTTGGCATGCAACATCATCAGTTATTTTCACTTCCAGGAACTTCTGACATTCAAGAACTTCTCCTGAACTTTCTCCAGATGAATACAAATTGTATATCACCTCCTTTAATACTGTAAATATTTTCATATTTCTAAGGAATTTTTGATACTGCAAGACTTTCTCTTCCACACCTAAAAAGAATGACAAATTATATATATATATATATATATATATATCTATCTCCAATGGGCACATATGCAGTATTTTCTGGAAGGAAAAACACCTAAGGAAAGTAATTCATGGCACTTTACTGAGGAAAGTTAGGCTTATCATTTTTAGATAAAACCTTCTCTAGCGTATCTGCACTAATGCATTAAACAAAATGATGAACACATATAAAACACCATATGATTTAATTTATGCAAAGAATGCTGAAGGACTTCCTGAAGTATACAAAAGGACTATGGAGCAGTCTCTTCCTGCATCCAGGATTCTGTTCTGAAATGATGAAGTCCTTTCAAAATAGATATTGGAAGGGTGCAGGGCATAGACACTCAGAGGTGCTCACTAGGCTGTTACCAGCCAGACCACGCATCAGCAGATTTTACCCAATTCAAAGAAGAATTATTGAGACATCCCGACCCAGTGCAACTATCTTGTCAGAGTTTATTATTAGCCTGGAGAGCCTGAAATAAAACCTTAACTAAAGTTAAAGATTATTTTATTTAGGGAACAAATAAAAAATAATCAATGGTAACCATTTAATGTAAAATATCTCTATCTCTCTTCAAAAATCCCTGTATAACTGGCAACTGTTGCCTGTATAACTGGTAACTATCCACCATTATTCCATTTCTATAAATATTCTCTTAACTAAGCATATGTATATTTGTACAGTTTCACATATCAAGTTCATGACCTCACACACTGTAGTAATCCTGAACTTTACTCTTCAGCTCACTTTTTGAGGACTGTGCTGTCCTGTGCATTGTTTAGTTCATTTGCTACATCAGCTATATCTGGCATAATAAGAAAGTTTAAATTGTGCACATTCTTCATTCTCCTTTGAGATCATTTGCAAACATTTCTCTCTGACAGAATGCTGCAGAAATTACTCAGGAAAGACTCTGATTTCTCCTCAAACTTCAGCAAAATTAAGGATGCTGAGAATACTAACAAGTTGTAGTTGCAGTTGTAGACCATCTTTTATTCCACCATCTTAGCTTTTAAATTCCTCTCTTTCAGGGTTTTATTCATGTAAAATAAAATGTTTCTCTGTGCTAGCTAATGTACATTCTCAGCTTTAACTGCAACAATGCTGTCACTGTTCCTTACAGGAAATCTGTCAGATTACGGTGATGACAATCATTTCTCACTAAGTCCTCCTGCTGCCAGCAACTGAAATTATGGTTCTCCCTAGTAAGCAGCTCAATCACTTTCAACCAGGATGATGGACAGATTCCAAGAACAATCTTACATTTAAGACAAATGCAGCAAATTACCCATGTCCTTCTGAGACAGAGCAATAAAACCTTCCTTCTCCAATTTACTCATTATTATGGTAACATTTCACATTTATGAAACACGTAAAGAATTATAATATGTATTTTAATAATAAGGAAGAGAAACAGAGGAAACAACTCACTTATATCACGCAATAAGCAAGGTCAAAAATTAAGCAATATAATATAATAGCTACCAGCTCCCATTCAAATCTGAAAGAAAACATGGGTTCAATGAAATCTACCTGTGAAATATGTAAGTTGGGTGTGCTAT